GGCTCCCGCCGCGGACGCCCGGGAGGTCCGCGGCTGCCGCGGAGTTTCCCGGAATTCGCTCCCTGCAGCGCTGACAGCGCCTCGTGTTCCCGGAGCGGCGAGGCCGCGGGGACCCCGGGTGCCTCCTGAGCCCGTCCCCGGCGCCCGGGGAGGCTCCGCTCCCGGAGCTCCCCCGTTGGGCGCTTGGCGGCCGCCCCGGTGGCTCCCTTGGCAGGTGGTACCGGCCCGCGGGGGCTCCCGGGGGAGCCGCCACCTGCCCGGGCGGCAGCAGGGCCCGCGCTGGCAGCTCCGCTCCCCGCGGGAACAAACCGCTTATCTCTGTTTTTCCAGCAGAAACGGCCTTGACTTTTTTTTAATTTTTTTTTTCTTTTTCTGCCCTCTCTGTGCGTGTTGCTGGTGTGGGGCGTCTGCCGGGGCTCGCGGCCGCCCCGGGGCAGGGGAGCCGCGGGGGAAGCCGCCGTGGGGCAGAGCCGACTCACGCTCAGCCCCTGTGCCGGCCCTGGGGGCGCCCGGTGCCCCGGCCCGTGGGGCGGCCGCTCCGCGTGCCCGTCCCGCGCTCGCTCCCGGCTCTGACGTGTGTGTTTCTTCCCCAGCTGGCGCCCCGGCTGCCGCGCTCCTGGCTAACAGCACCAGTTCTTCAGTGGCAAGCTTTATGTCCTTCTCTAGTAGCTAAAGCTGCCAGTTGAAGAACTGTTGAACGTAGCCACTCTCTTCTTGTGCCCGGGCTGCCGGACGTCGCCGAGATCCGTGACCCGCACGAGCGAATCGGAGGCACCTGATGGACAGACCCGTCTGCGGGATGAGGATGGACCCTCCTGCGAGGAAGAACCTGGAGCCTCGGCTGTGGGATGCCCCGAAAGCCCCGGGCTGCGCAGTGGGCAGCGGGGCCACCCCCGCGGGGTGACGTGACGAACTGGAGGGACATTAAAGGTTGCTCCGCTCTGCACGGCACCGGTTAGGATGTTTGCTAGTGGGCGCTGTGCGGAGCTGCGCGGCGGGAGGAGGCGCCGGGTGGTGGGTCAGGAGCCGCAGCGCCGAGCGCCCCTTCCCGGGTGAGCGGGGACGGAGCCGGGGGGCAGGAAGGGGCCGGCCGCGGAAGCGGCGCTGCGGGCCGGGCTGGGTGTGGTGGAGCCGGCGCCGGGGCTGACTCAGGGCCCTGTCACGCACTGCCCTGGACGGCTCTTCCAGGAACCACTACCCGCCGGCGCCCGGAACCGGCAGCGCCGGGCGCCCCGGCCGTGCATGGAGCGCGCCAGGCTGGGCAGCACCGCGGCGCCTCGCTGCGTGCTCGCCCAATTCCCGCCGGTGGCTGGGGATGATGCAGCAAAGCTCCCCGTATCCCTGGGCACGGGAGCACATCCCAGCCCCGGGCAGCCAAGGAGGTTCCCTGGGAGCCTCTGTGCAACCGGAGGCTCCGGAATGCCCATATGGAGCAGGACAAGGCCGTGCCCCCAGCTCCCGGGCTGCCCTGGTGGATGGGAACCAGCATCCGGATGCTGCTTTTCAGCCCGGCTTGCCAGCCCCATCCCTGCCCATCCTGGATGGGAAGGAGGCTCCTGCGTTGCACTGAGCCTGCACAGTCTCAGCTGGGTTCCCGGTCCAGGTTCCAGATGCCCGGGGAGGGATCGCTGCCGTGTTTTGGCACGGGGCACTGTGCAGCGCGCGGCCTCATGCCCATGGCTGCCCGTGGTTTTGGAGGGAGCACCTCCCATCCCTTCCTCCGAACCCTGCTGCCTGTGGGGTTCCCTGGCTGCTCCCTTGGGCACGTTGATGGCCGCCAGGTGTGCTGAGTGTTCTCAGTCATCGTCACGCACCGAGCAGAGTCACGGAGCCCACTCGGATCAATTGCTCTTGGGAAGGATCATGGCAAAACGCCCTCGCCTTGATCCGGAGCCAGAGATCCGGATCTCCAGTACAGCAGCTGCCGCGGGGCAAGCCCGTGCGGAGCGGCCGGCGCCTGCTCGGGCCGCGCACGGAGGGGCACAAGGAGCCGCTGCACCCGGGCGAGCGGCTGCCCAGCTCCTGCCGCCTGCCCCTGCACCGGGACAGGTGCCCTTTGGGATGAGGTGCCGGCTGCTCCTGCGCATGGGCTGTGCAGCTCCTGGCTTTGGGAACCGCTTCCCTCGCCACGGCTCTGTCGCTGGGATGAGGCGCTGTTGGGAAGCGCGAGGTCAGCGTGACCGGCGTGCCGAGCGGGAGCCGCCCGCCAAGAGCGAGCGGGGCAGAGCCGCCCTGCTCGTGGCCTAGGGCCTTCCCTCTCTGCCCAGCTCCGCAGCAGGGCCCGGGCGTCCTCCCCTCGTGCACCGCAGCGGAGCCCACCCCAGCAGGGAGGGCAGAGGGCTTTGCCCGCCTTGCTTGGTGGGCAAACGGAAAAGGCAGGAACGGGGATCGGCTTCGGTTGTGCCTTTATTTCTCCTGTGCCGATGGGAGGACGTTGGGTGTGACGCGAGTTGCTCCGCGCCATTCCCGGCCGCGTGTGCCCGGAGCTCAGGTAGGTGCCAGCCAGGGAATGCTGTTGATATCACAGGCCCTGGCAAGCAGAGGAGTGTTGGGGAGCTGCAGTAACGTCTCAGCCCTGTCGCTTGGCCCTCTGCTCGCGCGGGGATGCGGAGCAGAGTGGCCCGGGTGTCGCTTACTCCGCTTCATCTTTAGAGATCTGTTTCCCTGAGCATAAAACTTCAGCGATGAGGGGCACCATGGGGTCGCAGTTGAGGCTGGCAGCCGCCACCACGTAGCCGTCTCTGGAAGGGGAAGCGCAGGAACGTGCATCTCCCCGGAGCAAACACCCCGCGCGGCGGCAGCGCGGCCGGTACTGGGGCACGCACGGGCACTTGCTGCAGGTTGGTGGTGGTCACACAGCAGCCCCACGTGTGTCCCAGCTCCCGGCATGGCCGGCCAGCCTTAGCCCCGTCCCATTTTGCTCCTTCCCCCCTGCCCTGTTGCATTTTCCCCTCCGTGAAGCTGTTTCAGCCCCATGGAGCTGAGTCCCCAGCCCGAAGGCTCCGCGGGCAGCGCCAGCCCCGTTCCCAGCGCGGCTGCGCCGGGGTGCGCGCCGGCCGCAGAGCCACCCACTTGATGTAGAAGACCAGGAACCTGCGGTGCTCCAGGCTGCCCTTCACCACGGTCTCCGTGTAGCCCTTCCCGCAGCCTGCGAGAGAGCACGGGCTGCTGCGGGAGCTGCAGCGCGGAGCTGCCGCCGGCGCGGGCTGGGGACACGGGACGTGGCTCTGGCTGGGGGAGGGCCGGGACAAGGACCAGGAGGGGTCTGGAGGCCCCAGGCGAGCAGCACCGGGAGGTGCAGGGCTGTGAGAACTGCGCCTTTCCTCACACTGCAGAGGGAAGTTCTTGCTCCTTTGTGATTTCTAAGCCGCTAGAGACCAGCAAAGGACAAGGGCTCTGTGCGTCTAGTGGGGCCAGAGCTCCAAAACAGAGCTCACAGACCAGTCCAAAGCACGAGCTGCTCCTGTGCAACCACGTCTGCACAGAGCCTGGGCAAGGCTGGTGCTTGCAGACCCGGCGCCGCTGATGCCTGAGCAGCCGGGCCGCCCTGCCTCTGCTCCCACCTACCTGCGTAGCGGATGCTCTTCCCGAGCATTGTGGTCCAGAAGAAGGGCACCGTGCGCAGTTCCTTCGGTTCCTTCAGCATGTTGAAGGCGGCAACGTGACCTGTGAGGGCCCAGCAGAGGTATTTCCATACCTTTCTTGCAGCTCTGCAAAGTTGTTGCTGACTGCTCAGCGTGCCCGTCCCAACCCCACCCCTGCTTCCCGCTGCCCTGAATCACTCGAGCTAAGAGCCACCGTGTGCCCGGATCTGGATTCACTGCCGGTTGGGCCAGACAGTTCCCGGGTCTCTCCCCTTCTCCTTCAGCACATGGGCTGGCTACATGCAGGGCTCCCGCTTTTCCGAGCAGTTTATCCACAAGGACATCGCTTTCTCCCATGCCTTGTGGGGCTCCCCGGGACACCCAGCGTGGGCAGCGAGCGGGTGGGACGCCCGTGTCCTCCCTGGCCGCCCCTTTCCGTGACGGCCCCGCGGCCGCTCACCGTGCGCCTCGGCCACTTGCTGGTGCTGGATGTTGGAGTGCTGCCCGTGGAGCAGAGCGACGGGGAAGGCAGCCACGTCGCCCGCGGCGTAGACGTTGGGCACGCTGGTTCGCATGCGCTGAGGGGCCGAGAAGGCGCTGAGTGCCGCCGGGCGGGAGCGGGAGGCCTGAACCTCCCCTTGGCGCTTACCAGGTCCACCAGGATGGCCCCGCTGCTGTCCCTGGCGATGGAGGTGCCCTTCAGGAAGGCCGAGCTGGGGGACACCCCTGCGGGGAAGGGAGCGGGGCTGCATGGAGCCAAGCGCTGCGGAGGCCGGCGGGACGCGCAGCCCGGGAGCCCTTGGGGTCTGCCCGGGGCGCCCGGAGCGAGGCGGCCGGCAGCAGGGAGCAGCGCTCGGTCCGGCTCATCCGGAGGCCGTAAATCCGGGTCGGGTAGCAAAGCGAGCTCTGAGAGCTGCCGAGAGCGGCGAGGTGCCCAAAGCCACGTGCAGGGAGGTGCTGCCCTCCTGCGAGGGGCTGCACGTGGGCTGTGACCTTCTCAGGTGTTTGGGGCCAGGAGGAAGGGCTGGGTAACGCAGTGGGAAAGAGATTGCAGGGAATGACGTGCCCTGGGAACGCACATCATGGAGCGCTCTGGAGTGCTGGTTGCTTTCCCCTCAAGCTGCCCCTTTCTCTCACCTATTCCAACCACCACCACATCTGCAGGTATTTTTGTTCCGCTGTCCAGAACAGCCTCTGTGACCTAGGAAAGGCACAGGATTTATTAACAAAGGGCTGAAAACCCTGCCCTAATTCCCACAGCCTCCCAGCTGCCTGGTTCTTTGCTCCCCTCAGTCCAGCCCTTGGCTTTAAACATAGAAACGCAGGCTGGTGCCCTTTGAGCCCAGAGTTATGTGCTGTGAGGGTCTGGACACGCAAGCAGAGAGACCAGGCATAGACTGTGGCTTGGGGGCTTGTTTTTTTTTTTTTTTTTCTCCCTAAAATTTTCACATCAGGAATCGTGGGGTGTCACCGACCTTCCCATCTTTTCCCTTCAGCTCGGAGACTTCTGCCTTCATGTGAAACGTCACCCCTGCTTCTTGCAGCATCTGCAAGGGGAGCGGGAGCTGCCGTGAGCGCTTCCTAGGAGAGCCCAGGCTGGTCAAGAAGAGCAGCGCCCGGTCCAAAGCCGGGCAGGGAGCTTTGCCGGCCCTTTGGTTGGCGGGGGGGGGGTCTCCGTCCTAGAAATGAACCCCAGATTTCCTAACCTTCATGGCAACGCCTCCAACCTGGGGACCCAGCACGTTCTGGAAAGGGAACTCCTTCTTCTCCACCACGGAGACGGCTGCAGCCTTGTCTGAGAGGAAGGCAGCGACCTCCATCCCTGCAAGGAGAGGACGTGCCCAAGGTAGGTCTGCTGCAAGTAGGAGCCTGCACCCTCCTCCTTGGGAATCTGTTCCCCTTCCAGATGAAGGGAACGGCTCTGATGTGTTGCCAGCACTTAACTGCTCTTCGACGCGTTTCTGGGCTGATATATTTAGCCTCCCCTCCCCAGTTCTCTGTTCTCATGCACTGTTGACCCAGATATTAGGAACTGCAAAGAAAAGCTCCTGACTGGGTGCAAAACAGCCCCCTCATCCCGCTTTACTCCTTCCCTTTCCAGCGTTTCTGGGGAGTCCAGCTCCTCCCTAAGGACCATACCTTTTCACAAGCCCCTTTTCATAAAGACCTTGTCACATTTCCCTCTAATCCACCCCCCAAACTCTTCATAGTTCTCAAAGTCTCTGCCTATCAGAAGAAAGAGCTGCTGCACCCTGGTTAACACCCCAGTATTTACAGGACTCCAGGGAGGAACCAAGACAGGTAACAAATGAACATCCCTTCCCCGAGGGCCCCTCGTTAATCTGCATGCACAGCACAAGTGTCAAGGCTATCATTAACAACTTGATCTCCACCCCAGCCCGGTACCTATGAATGAGGCTCCTATGATCACCAGATTCCTGCCGGCTGATAGCTCTAAGATCTTCCGAGAGTCTTCTGGCGTTTGCAGAAGACATATGTTCTGCAGATCTGCACCTGGCACCTCCAGAGGGATGGGACTGCGAGAGAGAGGAAATCCAGACGTGTCAGGATCGTAAATGAAGCAAGGAGGAAGGGAGGCCCCGTAAACACATGCAATCCCTTTGCCCTCTCCTCCCACCCTATCCTCGCATCCCGGCGCCCATTCCCCTCGCTCTCGTGCACCTCCGGAGAGGCCGCTGCTGCTGAGGAGCAGCCGCCCCGCTGCAGAGCCGCCTTATCCGACCCGGCGCCGTGGTGGGACGTGCCGTGCACTCACTGGCTGCCCGTGGCGATGAGCAGGTGGTCGTAGCGCTGCGAGGAGCCGTTCTGGAAGCGGACCCTCCGCCGCTGGAAGTCCACTGACATGGCCTGCGGGAGGAGACGGGAGGGAAGGATCGGACCGGCAGCTCTGGCTGACACCAGCGCTTTTCCTGCCAGGACAAGCCGTTCTACTCGCTCTGTGACAATCTCCTCGATCTGAACACCGAGATAAAACACGGAGTCTTGGGGTCCTGCCTCTCGCTTCCCACAGGTATTAGCCTTGGGGAGCTCTAAGCACCACAGCGTTAAATCCGGGTTCCTCCAAGGCTGCACAGAAGGCTGGTTTCAAAGCTCACCCTCTTTGCATGAGATGGACACAGCTGTCCCTGCGAGGTGCAGGTAGACCCAAAACACACACGCAGTCCCTAGCGCGGGCCTTGGGGTGCTGCCCCAGAATCAGAGCCCTGCTTGCCACGGCCTTGTGCCACGGTGTGCCCGCAGGCGAGGGCATCCCCTCCGCGCAGCAAGGACAAGACCTTCCGAGCCGCGCTCACACCTCTCTCTGTGTCCAGTGCTCTATGCAGCGAGCGTCAAGGAACTCGGCTGTCCTCAGGTACATGTCCTCAGGCTTCAAGTTCATTTCCTGCAAACGGAACAGAAACGTGGAGTGGAATCTCCCTCCCCGCTGCCAGCGACGCTCTTGCAGTGTCTACAGGCACGTTTGCATAAGAGGTGAATTCTGCCCTGGTGACTCACACTGGCCTATCCCCATCCTCATCACCTCCTTGTCGCCCCCTCAGCTCCGCTGTAGCAGGGAGAACCAGCTGGAGGGGGTAAAACCGCCAGCTTAGGGTGGGCTTTGATCAAAGACTCTCCGGGAGGAAGCAGTGAGATGTTAGCCGGGAGTTAGACCCGCTTTCCTTGCAGGAAAAGATTCCAGGGCTCCGGCGGCCGTGCCAGAAGGGGCCGTTTTGGTGCTCAGCCTGGCTGTGAACACGGCTCGTGGCCCTGGTTCGCGTGGTAGCCGCCGAGCTCCTTCCCATCGCCCGCACAAACCTTGCTCAGTTTGGACTTGTCGTAGGGCAGGTGTTTCTCCCTCGTGGCCATGATGATCCTGCCCGTGAAGCCCTCCTGGCGAAGCGTTTCGGCGCACACCAGCGCGGCCACACCTGGGAGGGACGCTCAGCTCGGCCCGACCCATGCGGGAGGAGGAGGAGGAGGAAGACCCTTCCCGGAGAAGAATCCGGCAGCCCCCAGCATCCATGGGGAGGGCAGAGCAGAGCATGGCACTGACCTCCCCCTAGCAGCAGCACCGTCTCCAGGTTGAGAAGGCAGCGCCTGCTGCTCTCCTTCACCCTCACGCCGCTTTTGAGGTCCTGGAAGGGAGTGGGAAATGCCCAAGTGGTTCCCGGCGCCAGGTGCTGCCTGCGCTCCATGCTGTCGGGTAAGGTCCCTACCTTTATTCTTGCTGTAACAAACACCTTGCCGTCCTTCACGGTTACCTGCAGGGACGAGAGCGGGCGCATTGTGGTGCCATGCTCCCAGTGGTGGCGGGAGCTCCCGAACGGCTCGGCCGGAGCGGCTCTGAGCTCTGGCCGCGCGGAGCCCCGGGATAGGGGTCTGGCCAACAGCGAGTGGCCACATGGCCTGGAGCCTGGAGGGAGAGGGGCCCGGGATACCAAGACCCGCTGGGAAGAGGCTGCGTGATGGAGAGCAGCTCCGGGGAGCAGGGGCAGGAGCCGGGATCCGCACCTGGAAGCGGGGAAGACAGTCCAGGGCTGGATACTCCTCGATATCTCCCGTCCGAACGTCGAAGCAGGAGCCGTGCCAGGGGCAGCGCAGCCTGTTGCCCCTCAAGACCCCTGCGGTTAAAAGCAGGAGCGGTGCCAGGAGCGGTGCCAGGAGCGGTGCCGGGAGCGCCGGGGGGGTCCGGCCGCGGCCGCCGTTACCTCTGCTGAGCGGGGCGCCGTAGTGGGGACACCGGCTCCCCAGGGCGCTGAACTGGGTCCGGCTCCTCACGAGCAGCACCGGGTAACCGGCCACCGTGACCTCCCGCAGCCTGCGGGAGAGGGGACACCGGGCCGGATAACGTGGTTCAGTCACCACGGGAGAGGGGACGGGCAGGTGGTGGCAGGGGGGACGCGGGGCCGGATAACGTGGCATGGTCACCACGGGAGAGGGGACACTGGGCTGGATAACGTGGCGCAGTCACCGCAGGAGAGGTGACGGGGAGGTGGCAGCAGGGGGGACACCGCGCCGGATAACGTGGCGCAGTCACCGCGGGAGAGGGGATGGGGAGGTGGCGGCAAGGGACACCGGCTGGACAAGGTGGATGCCCCCCGGCCTCCCGCGGTGCCGGGCACTCACTCGCCATCCCTGACGTCGTCCTCGTCACACACCTCGGCTGTGACCGTGTCCTCGCTGTCCATGCCCAGGGCACACAGAGGGATGGCTTCCCGCTGGAAAACAAGGGCAAACCCTCCTCGTTAGCACCCTAGCGAGCAGCTCTTTAGGGACTGCGGAGGGCAAAGCCTCCTTCCCTGCCTGTTTTGGAGGGAAAAATAAGTAGATAAAAGAGCGGAAAAGGTGCAGTTTGGTGTTGGCGCTGCCAGGAGCAGCCGCTCGTGCCGGATGATCCGTCAGGAAAGCACTGCCGGCTCCCAGCTCCGCTCCCGCCGCCGTGCGCGTGTCCCTGCCGTGGGAACGGGCCCAGCCGCCCCTTTTGTGCGGGCGGCTGCTCCGGGGAAGCCGGCACCGCCCGGGCAGGAGCCGCGCGCGGGTGGGCGCCGTGGGCAGGAGCCGGCGCTTATCTGCTCCCGGCAATCGCTGGCCACGGCGCTCCGGCGGCTTCGCCCCGCCGCGGGAGCCGCTTGCGAAAGCGCTGGCGACGCTCGGCAGCGGCGACGCCGAGCGCGTGGGCGCAACGCGGCCGCAAAGGACCAGCGCTCGCGTTTTGTCCCCCGTGCACGAGCACCGGCTCTCTGCAGCGCTCTGGGGGCCTGTTCCTCCTCTCCATGCGTCCCTATGTCACTTAGCGTCATTGAACTCCATTTTTTTGGCCTGCAGTCTCTCTCCTTTTGGTGGATTTTAACACAGCGCGAGCGCTCGGCCCCTCTGTGAGCGCTTTCTGTGCAAACTCTGCTTCGGAGCATGTGGACGGGGCGAGCAGAGGGCCGACCCCGGGGTCCCCGCGCTGTTTGCTCGGCAAAGGCGCTGCTCAGCCTTGCGACAAGCAGCGCGCTCCTTCCCCTTGGCCACGGTGCTATTTTTGCAGCTGAGTGGGAGTTGCAGAAACGGGAGCAACGCCTACGCTGTTTGTGTCTACTCTGGTTTTTGTCTCTCTCAGCCAGCATCTGGAAGAAAAAGAAAGAAAAAGCTTAAAATATGCCTCAAAATTTAGGGGAGAAGATTTCCACAGCATGTTTCCCCCATCTCCCTTGCAGGGAACATCCAACCGGGATGCGCTCCGGAAAGAAGCGCGCCACACGGGAACAGCAGCAAACGAAGCTCCTGCAGCCTCATCCTGCGGTGGGCGCAGGAGCCGGGTGGCCGCGAGCAGGGGACGCGCACGTGGGTGCCCGGCGGTGCCGGCCCATCCTCACGGGCATCACGGGGCCGGTGCCAGGGCTGCAGGGGCAAAGGGTTTTTCTCCCTCTCGGTGCCAACGAGCAGCTTTGGGGCTCTGCCTCCTGGCCAGCAGCCCAAGCGTGAGGGAATTTGGCCGCCGAGCAGCTCTGTTGAGGCTCCGTAATTATCCCGCGGCAGCAAGTTCCCACGTGGAGACGCGACCGCGCTTGCCGAGGCTTCCTCTGACTCAGCAGAATGTGTCAGGAGGGGGAAAAAAAAAGGCAAAAAGTGCTGTTTGCTGGAAAACGCTCCCGGGCGAGAGCTGCAGCGCTCCTGCCAAGTGCAGGCGGGTGCAAAGGCTGGGACGGCGCGGGGACCAGCCGGGTGGCACTTGCTTCCGTGCCAAGCGGCAGTGACTTTTGCACTGCAGCTTACGGGGCGGCCGGCAGCGGGGGTGGCTTTTGAACGTGCAAAGGGAGGTGAATTCCCCTCAATCGTCTGATTTCCTATGACTGTTGGTGAAAGGGGCAGCGGGACTCTGAGAGCTCAGCCCATCCCGGAGCGCCTCACAAGCACCGAAACCCCATCCCTGAACATGGGGAGCCTCTGGGAGAGGACCCAGTTTGTCTGGGAGAGACTGGGATTATCCCTAAACTGCCGCGTCTGCCCCGTGGGCAAAGCATCATCGGTGCCAGATGTGGCACAACCTGCTGCAGAGAAACTCCAACGGGGAGATAAGGAAGAGACGTGGTCTGGGGATTTAAAAAACAGCCACATCCCTGATTTACACCCCCGTTGTCGCTGGATCCACTTTGGATCAGCTCTGTTCCCCCCGGCATCACGGGATGCACCTAGGGACGTCCTTGCTGGTTGTCTGGAAGGAGCTGGGGCTCCATGGGGCTGAGCTGCCTCCCTGCGACGAGGGACAGCGGCCTTTGGAGGCTGCTGGAAAACCTCTGGAAAGTGGAGGGAAAAGGGGGAATCTCTCCAAATAAGGTGCAAATGCAGGATCCTTTTCGGAGCAGGGCCCTGGTCCGCCCGGCTCTCTGGCGAGGGAGCAGGGACCTCTTGTGGCAGCGGTGCCGGAGAGCTCCTCATCCCGGCTCCTCATTCCGGCTCCTCATCCCGGCTTCTCCAGGTCTCCTGCAGGCCTCAAGGCCCAGGGCCCATCCCTGAACGGCCCAGAATTTTGGCCTGGCCTGGCAGCAAAGGACATGGACTTGGGAGCCGGTGGCCCTGGGAACATCCCTGGCTCATCCCGCGCTGCGGAGGAGGGCAGGGAAAGCGGGAATACGAGATTGCAAGGACGGGGCTGCCCCATGCCCTCCGGGACCCTCCGGGAGCGACACTTTTAGGGGCTGGAAGCCCCTGAGCCGCAGGCTCCATCCCAGCTTAAATCCCTAAAGCAGCAGGTAAGAAATCCCTGTCCCCAGCCCCGGTCTGGCCACGGGGAGGAAATGGGAGGAGGGATTTAGGATAATCCCCCTTTGATAACAGAGGAATATCAGCGCTGTGGAGAAGCCACGGGACACCCTGGCTGCGAGGAGAAGCGGCACTGGCCTCCTCGCTATCAGATTAGCCCATGGGATCCTTCGATCCCGATACACTGGATTATTTATAATCCTCCAAGCAGTCGGGTCTGCTCATTGCTCCAACCAGTGTCTCCCTGCCCCCCGACCACTGCAAAATTACACCCTATTTCCCAGCTTTTAAGCATGTTCCCGAAGCATGAGGAGCTTTGCTCTCTGGTCAGAATATCTCCCCCTGCCTTGCTAGGATCTGATTCCCCTCCCCAGGAAATCTGCATCCCTGTCTCTTCCCTCATCTATCACTTGCTGATGTTCCTGTGTCCATGCCCCTGCCAGGGCAGCACCTGCAATTTCCAGCTCCAGACGCTCCTTTCCAGAGGATTTCATCCCAAATTAATCCCTGCAAGGAGCGGCAGGCGCTGCCACTAACGGGTGCGTGCACAGTGACTCACGCTGTCTGCAGAGCAGACACGGAACCGGGCACCGGGCGGCATCCAGGCTGCTGCTGGTGGCACCGTCAGAGAGCACTGGGAGAATCATCAAACCATGGGAAGCAGAGAAAAATAATAATAAAAAATAAACCATGTGAGAGCAGGATGAGAGGAGGGGGCACGACAAGCTGTGGGTAGAGGTGCTGAATTGCCACAGGTCCCTTGCAGGGCTGTCCCAGGCCCTGGAGTTTCCTCTCGGGGCGGGTGGTTCAGCCTGGGTTAGGGTTAGGGTTAGGGTTAGGGTTAGGGTTAGGGTTAGGGTTAGGGTTAGGGTTAGGGTTAGGAGGGACACAAGCAGGACATGGAGATGCCCCTTGCTCCAGGCGGGAGCTCTCAGCCCTGTGCTCGTGCCTGCTGTGCAGAGGGCAAGGGCAGGATGATGCCAACCCCTCTGCTCCACATTTCTCCCTCTCTGTGTCCTGTCCCTGTGTCCCGCAGCCCGCTCGGCTCTTTCTGGCACCGCGGTTTTCACAGCGCTGCTGTGCCAGGAGGGAAGCAACCCCCAGGATGCCGCCTGGCCCCGCACCTACGCGGGCTCTCGTGTTTATGGGACTGAGCTTTGCTGAAACCAAAGCACTTAATGGGGTAATTAACAGCAAAACACTCTCACCTTGTAATTAGCTCCCTTGATTAAGATGGAGGGAAGGGAAAGGAGCAGTTGCCAGGGCCGAGGGATGGGCTGAGGGAGCGTGGGCAGCACCGTGGGCAGGTTTAAGTGACTCACGAAGCAGGACCAAGTGTCCCCAGCATGGGTGGCCTCCCTGGAGCCTCCCCAGCTTCTGCTCCCGGGGGAACCGGCAGCGTTTGGGGTGATGTTGCTGCCCGGTGTCGCTGCCTGGTACCAGTGACGCCTGGGGCAGTGCTGGAGCCGCTGCCCGGGGCTCTTCCCATGCCTGGAGCGACTGTTTGGGATGGTACCTGTGGCTGAGGTGACACTGGTGGCAGTCCCAGCGCCAGGGTGGTACTGCTGCTGGGAACGATGCTCAAGGCGGTACCCGTGCCTGGGGCTGTATGGCTGTCCTGGGATGATGCTCGGGGTGGTACCACTGCCTGGGGCAGTACCAGTGCTCAGGTTGACATTTGGGGCGGTGCCGCTGCCCGGGATAGTGCTCGGAGCGGTACCAGTGCGTGAGGCAGAACCGGTGCAGGGAGGAGGCTGGGGGCGGTACCGCTGCCCGGGGCGGTACTGGTGGCCGGGGTGGTAGAGATGCCTTGGGACGATCCTCGGGGCGGTGCGGGTGCCCAGGACAGTGCTCCGGGCGATACTGGTGGTTGAGGGCGCTGTCCGGGGCGGTACCGGTGGCCGGGACGATGCCCGGGGCGGTACCGGTACCGGTGATGGAGGGAGAGGCCGGTTGGACGGAGCGTGCCCGGGCTCGGGGAGCAGCCGCCGGCTCCTGCTCGCACCTGCGCGCCTTTCCAGCGTCGCCGCTTCCCTAGGGAAAAGGGGGGACGCAGGACGGGGCGACGCGGGGGTGGCAGATGGGCCGGGTTTGGGGGGAATGGGGCGGAACTGGGGGGCATTTATGGGAATGAAGAGCCCTGCACGCTGGCGGGGCAGCACTCGCACTGACACCAGCCTTTGATAAACGGTTGGAAACGAAACGTCTCGAGGGTCTCTCGGGGGGAAAGGAGCCCACGGGCACCAGAATCGTTAGGGCTGGAAAAGACGCCCAGGGTCATTGACTCCAACCCGTCTTGACGCCCTGTCCTCCTGGGAGACCCCCCCCCGTGCCTCCCCGGACCGCACGGAGGGTCCCCCCGCCCCACAGGACGACACGGGGGGTCCCCGAGCCCCCCACGGGGACCCCCCGACCGCGGAGCCCCACGGAGCAGCCCACG